CAGGAACCTGCAACGAACTTTCGAAAGCTGAAGCACATGAACTGACATGCCCCAAAAACTCTTCGTGAAGGGTTCCTGAACTTGCCGGATGGGAACGCGTCACCAAATCGCGCCACGAAAAGTCCTCATCGAATTCGGCCCTCTCATCGGGTTCAGGAGAGGTAGCCGGGGTTGAAGTCTTGCCTTTCTTCTTTTTCGCAGCGACAAATTCGGGGTCGAAGGAAGCAGCACACACTTGGTGCCCTTGAAAGAACCTGGTCAGCATCTCGCTGGCAGATCCCTTTGTCAATCCGTCAGCCAGTTGGCTGTCCGAAGCCACCCAGAGCAAAGCCGTCCGCTGCGCCTCAAGGTGGTTGAACACTGACATCAACTCAAGGGCAGTATATTTTTCTTTCATGTTGAAGCTGGTGGTGTCACCTTTGCTCACACAGTCATACACCGACTTCGCGTCAGTGATGATCGCTGCTGGCACATGCTGAGTCGAACGTTCAGGTCGAAGAAGGTCAAGTGGTCGTCCAAGGAGTTCTGACCATTCAGCTCTGACAAACATCAACTCTTGTTCACCTTCTGCCATGGCCTGTACTTCAGCCGATAAAGAAGAGCGTGCCACGCGAACCAACTTGTGTGATCTCCAAGAGATAGGATTGACGAATCCCTTCTGCCCTTGGAGGTAGGATCGATGAACCATGCCCACCAGGTGTCCACCAGTCGAGGCAAAGTTGGGCCGGTTGGCCACTGCTGCGTCCGTGTAGCAAACAAATCCGATGTCATCCACGGACTCTGCACCAAGCTGTCGAGTTGACACGGACAGGTAGCGCTGGTGATGCATCTCTCGGCTCAGTTTGTTGATCTGGTGCAGGACATCCTTTCCACCCTTTGGAAGTGCGCTCTGAAGCCAAGACACCTTCGAAGAGTGTTGCGGCCCTGTCTGAATTGAGCGCCACTGCATTGCACCCAACAAAGCTCGAGCTTGATTCATCTCTTGAGCAGTCACCTTGTCACTCTTGTCTTCGATGACAATGGGTCGGAGTTCCTCGACAAAGGTGTGGTGCGACAGGCGAAAACTCCAATCAGCTTCCTGAGACACGCCAATGCCGCAGTGAGTGAAGGGAGAGGATTCCCAGGGGCTCCAAGAGAAAGCTTCCTTGAAGGTTTCCACGGTCTTCTGCCACAGTGGGCTGCTTGGGGAGCCAGAAATCAGGAAGTCGTCGACGTGACTGGCCACATAGCCTAGAGTCTCCTGAGTTTTGGGATCTTGCAGGATCCAAACGCAACCATCTGTGGTCAGGCGCTTCATGCCCAGCTTGTTGGTGATCACGGAGTTGACTTCACCATACCACTCACGAGGAGCAGAGACCAGGCCATAAGCGGCCTTCAACATCTTGGCGCATTCGCCTGGCTTGCAAGACAACTGCTCGGCCAACTCAGGAACTGGGGTGATGTATATATCACGTGCCCGTTGAGTATCCTGACCCTGCAAGAAGGCGCTTTTGGCGTCAGCCTTGGTGATGGCCCAGTGCTTCAAAGATGATAGGCCTAGCAGCAACTGTCTAGAACGACGAGTCATCGTTGGAGCTCCAGTAGCCAAATCCCCGAGGTCCGGGTCCGTGTAGCCCAAAAGGACTATGCGAGCTTTACACTTGACGTGCTTCTCGTCTCCGTCGATGGCCTTAAACACAAGGACCCACCTTGTACGCATCAGTCGAGATCTCGGGACGAGGCCAGTGAATCGTTCACAAACTCGTTGTCCCACCCATTGAGACACCTCCATCATCTTTGCCTCCTTCATGCTCTCTTTCTGAGAGGGAGAAAGTTTCTCCCAGGCCACTTCCGCTCCCTTTTGCACTGATTTTGCCACGAAGCGGCCAGGGTTTTTCAAAACCCGTTTCCAAGCAGCTTCGTCCTCTGGTATGGGAATGATCACGCTCAGCACATAGTCTTGATCGACATCTTCCATCCACAATGCTGGCGACGAAGAGGATGCTGCTTCGGACTGCTTCTTGACGTGCAATGGCCTGTCTTCCATCTCATGTCGATGCCGTGCTCGAAGGAATTCATCTCTCTTGGCCTCAAAATCTTCAGATGAGGTTCTTTTCATTGGCATGTACGATGGATCATGGAGAAGCCGTTGCACATCCATCGGAGTTTCAGGTTCTTCCGGGGGCTTCGAGGCTTGCTCATGAGATCGTGACTCTTCCGGAACAGGGATGAGTTCTTCTTCCGAATCATCTGAGGCCTCTCTCGATGCTGATCGAGCGGCAGGTACCGGAGGTTCTGGATGAGGGTCTTGAAGGACAGGAGGTGGTAGCACCGGAGGTCCTCTGCTTCTGCTTCTGACAGCTGAACGTCCTCGACGTGTCCTCTGACCTGGGAGGGGCTTGTCTTGAATCAAGTCCTCGTATTGACCCTTGTCAAGGGTTTGTCCCAGGGCTGTGAACGTCCATGGAAGTGTCGGAGCCGAGGTTGCCTCTGCAATCAGTCGTTCTCTTTCACTGGAGTGGCGAAGCTGTGAGGTGTGTGCTCGCTTCAGTCTGCCTTGGGCGACGATCCACACCACGTTTCCAGGTCTCCGGAGTAGTGGATCTTCTGACACTCTTGTCTCACATGCCAAGACTCGAGCTGGGCCGAACCATCGAAAGTGACTGCCTTGGGGAAGGTCAAGTTCTCGATGCGCCGTGAAGTCCTTTGGAAACTTGTACCTCCGGTAGTAGACCAAGTCGCCTGGGATGTACTGAGTGGTTCGGTCAGGCTTGGCATTCAAAGCACGAGAGATCTTGGCTTTGGCTTGCATCTTCCGATATTGCGCCTCGGCATCAAGGCGTCTTTGGAGGTTCTGGCTCATCTCGGATGTTGGATCACCTGCTGCACTTAGAGTTGCCAGACCGGGTTCTTCTGAAAGGTCTCGACCAAAAGCCCATTGAACAGGCGAGAACCCACTGATGCGAGCGAAGCGATTGTGAGCAGCACACATCTCATATGCTGCAAGGCGAGGTTCCACGGAGGTGTTCTGGCGGAGGTATGCCAGCATTTTCTTCTTCAATTCACCGATGGCTCTCTCGACATCGCCGGTGGCTTCATGGTGTTCAGCAGGAACAAATGAAAGCTCTATGTCGCGGCTCCGGCAAAAGGACTCCAACAAATCTCCTCTGAAGGCTCCTTCCAAGTCACATCTCAAACACGCCGGAGTTCCAAAGTATTGAAACCAGCATTGGACCAGCGCATCCAGAGTTGCTTGGGCTGTAATGTTTTCATGCTGTTCTTCATGGTGGGCCATCACTTCATGAACAACTGAAAAACCCGAAGCTTCATCTAGCATCAAGAGGAAGTGATGCACCATGTCACCTTTCTTCAGCACAAAGGCATCGATCTGGAGGGTGCGCCACAACTTTTGTTCCTTTTCGAGGGACACTTTTGGCGATGGCTTCTTCATGGTCCCCTCAAGGCACTCCATGCACTTCAACTGCTCTGCAACGGCCAGCAGTTTCCCATCAGCTCCCTTAGCAGCCAAGGTGCGAACCAGTGCTGGCCCGCTTGGATGCCCACAAAGGCGATGAAGCTTCAGTGCCGTCTCTGCCAGATGGGAAAGCTCCTTCTCGGTGAGGGTCTTGAGGCCTTCTCTATCAATCTTTACTTCAAGTGCCACAAAAACTCTTGGCTGATCAAGAAACTCGAGAAAGCATCGGCAGGCTGCACGGCACATGGCTGGGGTGTAGAGAGCTGTTCTTTTGGCCAAATCTCCTCCCATCACGGGCGTGTGAGAATGCCGCCCATCACATCGGCGGCTCATTGAAGTCAGCAACCCAGGGCGTGATGACCTCAAACGCCATGGTTTCTTCATGAACTCTCCTTGTGGTGACTTCAAGCCAAATTGGCAGCCATCCAACAAAACATCTTCAAAGCGTCCGACTCCACTCAGGGCACTCCAAAGATCCTTGATGATGTCGAACTTCCAGGCTTCGTTGTGAAGAGGCCATTCTTGAACAACTTCTCCACCTTGGTTCAACTGAGCTTCAATCACCTTGACGCCGTTCTTGATGAGTCTGCGAGATCGGGCCTTTCGTCGAAGGCTTCGTTTTCGACCTTCAGGCGTGAGCTCGTTGAGGTGTTGAAGAGGAGATGTCGCCCCGCAAGGAAATGCCACCCATAAGATTTCTGGTCGATGCAACTGCACCAGACGAATTGCCTCTTGGGTTCCGGAGTCGGTGAGGAGGTCACACTTGTTGTGCAAACCCATTCGGCCTGCCCGGCCGCCAGATGAGCGCCAGGTCTTGGTGAGAAGACTCTCCTCCTCACAACACAGTTCCATGAGGTCCAATTTCTCCGGGGACGAAGGTGGCAAACACGTGGCAAGGCAATCTTCGAAGGCCATTCTCTTCTCTTGGAGTGTCTTTTCGATGAAGTTCACCTCCTCGGGTGTCAACTCATAGGTTGCCTCAGTTCCATGGTACTGCTCTTCATCGACTTCTGGCTCCTCTCCCGGAGCTTCATAGTACTTCAACGGGTCGAGCAAGTAGTCAGGCACCTCATATTCGATGTTGACATTCTCAGGGGTGAACTCATTCGTTGAAAGATCATTGCTCATAGCCGTGGCCAAATTGTCAAGGACTAGGTCATTCGGTGAGAGCACAGTGCACAGATCCATGTCCTCATTCTCCACGGTGAGGTCATACTTTGAAAGCATTGCTCCAAGGTCTAGGATCTTCTCAGCCTTATAGTCGACTTTGCCTATGGCTGGTCCGGGGAAGGAGGAGTTCCAGCGATGCTCCATGAAGCCTCGGAAGTCCGGTTCTGGTACTCCAGGAGCTCTGCCGCGTCTTCCGGCTTTCGACTCTTCCGGCCAGGCGTCTGGCTCAAGATCTCTGGATCCCTTGGATGCTCTTCCTTGACATAGCCTTGAGTGGCCCTTGCCTTCGGCTTGGTCTCGGGCTTCCCCTGACGATATTGCTCCTTCTGAGCTCGAATGACTTCCAGCCGCTTCACGAGGGAGTTCTCTGCCGCATCCAATCCCACATTCTTGTTCTTCAGGTCCGGGCTGTAGGCGGCGGAGTTCCCCAAATCCTTCACCTTCGCCTCGGTGTCGGCGGGAAGAGGTCCTGCGGCTCTCGTCAGGCCATGGGCTCCGTAGCTGGGGACATAAAGGAGCCGGAGTTGGCATCGAGCACATGCCACCCAGTAGGCATGGGCGTTGGATCCCGTCGGGGATCCGCGGCCAGGTGGCGCTGGATCGTGAGTTCCCTGGCAGGGATCTCCCAGGAGACGGGGATCTCGGTTGTCCGGTCCACACATCCGATCGGTATCGAACCGATTCGTGTCCACCTCGAACGTCCCGGCGGCATTCGTCACCTCGAGCAGCTGCTTGCCCTTCGCTCGGGTGGTAGAAGTCTTCTTCGGAGTGGTAGCTGCCGCCATGAGGAGAGGTGAGCGTCGAGGTCGCTAAGATCGCCAAGATTCTCAGGCTCATGCCGAGATCCGAATTGCGCTGTTCAGCCAACAGTGCCGAAGAAAAAGGTGTGGCATCACCAAAAGTTTCTTCCAAAATGAAAGGTTCTTCAACAACTTCTTGCATGAGGGAAGGCTCTTCAAAAACGGGAAAAAGAGTTTCCACATTCAAGGAGAAGGACGGTGCACAACGTTCTGATTCATGTACATCATCAACTGAGACACAAAGCACTTGACTGCCCTTGACCTCAACCTTGTGGAACCTGTCGTGAAGTAGTTCATGAGGTAGTGAGGCCGTGGTAGTAGACAAGGAGGTCATAGAGGGGCTCAACAAAGGTGAGGTAGTCGATGAATAGTTCGGAGCATGAGGATACCCACTGAGCTCTTGAACGGCGAACACCTTTTCACGGTCATCAGCATCCGTGGTATCCTGCATGAAGAGGATCCTTGCCCCTCCATCCAGCCAGTTCGAACACAAATCAAGTAGCAAATGGCCAGTTCGTGACCTTCTCAAAGGGATCACCAAATGGGGATCCACAGTCTTCAACACCAGCATGCTCTGGTGGACATCTATGATTGCCCCTAACCTCTCAAGTGTGCGAACTCCGATCAACAGGGGCACTCCTTTCGAGTCCAGAGTGAACACGCCGAGGTCGATCTCGTGAGGTCCAACAGTTTGTTTCAAGTGCACATAGGATTCACTGAACTGGAGGGAACCATTTCCAAAACGAAACATCTTCTGAGGTCCAGGGATCACTGTCACATGGTTTCCATGACCCATCAACTCAGTCCTGCGAAGATGGATGTATTCCAAGGCTGCCAGCGAGCTCACCGATTCGGTCGCACCAGTATCGAGCACGCCATAGCCTTGAAGTTCAGGCTGCAAGACCTCAGATGACAAGATCTGCGGAATCTCGATTTGGGGTTTCACCTCGGGGACCTCAGACACATAGGGCTCCTCAACCTCGGAAACCATGTAGATCTTACCTGAGCCCTTCGAAGAAGAAGAGGAAGCGGTGTTCGAGCGAGACGGACAGGTGCGGAAAGTGTGTGCCTTACTCCCACAAACAAAGCATCCGGTGTAGCCTGCATTGCCAGGGGTTCCGGAGGTGGCAAACACATCATTCGAAGGTCCCGGACTTTCAGCCACAAAGGTCGGCACGGACGTGGGTTTCGCGCCCTTGCCTTTGGAAAAGCCGGATGGCTTACCCTTGCCCTTGCCCTTCTTCGGATAGAAGCCTCTGCTCAAGTTCTTGTGACGAAGAAGAGCGCGGGATTCAGCAAAGGATCTCACTTTTCCTTCATAGGTCGCATAGGCTTCTGAAATCTCCTTCTGCTGTTCCGGCGTGGCTGACCACCACACTTGATCTTCTTCAAAGTCTGACCAAGCCCAGTAGATTCCGGCTTGGTCTTGAGTGTAGAACTCACCATCGGCAGCTTTGCTCCAAAAGGTGTAGCCGCCATCATCATCTTGATGCCAGAAGCCATTTCCATCGGAGCGACCAGCAACCTCTTGTGCACGAGTCGGAGGTTCATCCATTGAAGCATAGATGGAGGAGAGGTCATGTCCAACCCAATGCACTGTTCCTTCTTCTAACCATTCTTGAGCCTCGTTGTCCTCGATCAAGAGGCCCCATTCACCATCCTGCTCCACCCAGAAGTTGGCCCGAGGTTTCGGGCGGTTTGCCCCACCTTTTCCTTTTCCTCGACCATCGGGATCACGTTCGTGTAGTCGAAGTTCTTCTTCTGCTCCACGAAGTCCTCGTTCAATGTCATCAGCCTTCAAGCTATTCCCGACGGAGGCCAGGATGTTCAGGCGCTGTTGGGGGCTCAAACTGCTACGACGAAGCATCAACCATCCAAGAAGTTCGGGTGGTAGGACTTCAGGAAGGCTCGAATCCATGTCATCCCAAAGCCGCACTCCCCACTGCATGTCATCATCATCCGATGAATCTGACTTTGTTGATCGCGCCTTGCGACCACGACCATGCCATTGTCGGCGTGCATCACTTTCTTCTCCAGGATCATCACCATCAGGCGAGTCAGGATACTCAAAGTCCAGCTCTTCATCGTCGTCTTCTTCGTCATCAGGTGCCTCAGGTTCGGGCACGGTCCTCTTTGATGTCTTTCGGCTGGATCGTGTCGGAGAAGGAGGAGACGATGTTGAGGGCACCGAGGGAGACCTCTTAGGAGAAGTTTCTTTCCCCTCGACGGGAGCAAGGGGAGCGGCACGCTTCAGGGCTCGTTGGAGCTGTCGGTATTGTTCACGGACAGTGGCACACCAGGTGCTCATGCTCATGCCGAAGGGTCGGCGAAGTTTCACCAACAACTCTTCTGCTTTGGCTCCAGCATCTGGTACAGGAACTCGAGCAAGATGGGACTCCAAGAACTGTACCAAGTACTTTGCTCCATCTTCTTTGACCAACCTCTCATGGCTGATCTCTTGGGTGATCGTCCAGGCGCGTCCCGTCAACTGGGACACTAGGTCAGCTGCCAGGTGCTTTCGGTGCTTCTTCTTGGTGCGGCTGAAGGCAAGACGAACTCGCCGCACATAGTCTTGGAAGGTCGAGACATCACCATTCCACGAGCACCGAAACAGCTTCTCATCTTTTGCCGCCTCCATGAGGTTATTCTTCAAGGCACGCGCAGTGAGTCAGGCAAAGATGTAGTATTGGGCGTAGGACCGCTGCTCCCAAACAGGTAATCGATGGACTCAATCACAAAGAGCTAGCGTAGTCAGGTCCCGGAGCAACAGCTCCGCTACCAATCTCAGTTTGAGAATTGGTAGCAAAGCGGAAGCAACCACAAAAATGC